TCTACCTGATTCACTCTGATCTCCTTCAGGTCCTTCTCAAATATTAACTCCTCAGACCTTTATAACCACCCAACCTCCTTTTTTTCTGGGTTATTTATTATATCTGCAGCTCCTAGAAGAGTGATACCTTGGCCCAGAATAGCCCCAGGCAAGCTTGCTACTAATCATCCATGTTCTGTTTCACACCCAGGTCTTTTCAAATGCTATCTTCTTTTCCTAATATCCTCCAGCTTGCTTCAACTCCCTGATTTAACAAGTGGGGGCTAACACTTGATGGGCACATGGGAGATAGAACCTGGAAAGCAAGGAGTGACAGATTCTAAGGAGTTTGTGGAGTGGTGAATTAATTCACTGGGGGATTTGAACAGAGCACAGACCCTAACTGCCATACTGCTTCATGGCAACTTTCCACTTCCCCAGTGGAGGATAAGCTGAGGTGGGCCTGGGCAAATCGGGAGTGAGGTTGGCAACACTCCATGGGGACACATACTTACAGATGGAAATTGATGTGGAATCAAATTTAATAAATAGGTGGTTGGGGTATAAATAGCACAGAGGGCGGGGCTATCCCAACACATGGGCAGGAGGGAGGGGGTATTGCTGCTGGGGGGGATGGTCCCATCATCCCCTCCCCGTGCAGGGCCCAAAGCAAGGCACTAATGAAGGGGGCCCAGGTGTGCTGGGGGCATCTTGGCTCAATGATCTTCCCCACAACACCTGATCTGGGGCTCTGCCCCAGATACTCAGGCTGGAGCCAGCCACACCCCTTGATGGGGGCTGTGGACAGCTTGGCTCAGGACTGAGAAGCCCCCTCCCACCAATTCCACCACCCTCAGCCGTTGCTGGACATGAGGCTGATGATCTGCTCCAACTTCTGGCGCAACTTGTGCTTCCGACAAGACGCATCCCTGTCCAGGGCAGCGAGAATCTGGAGGAGAAGGGTCCCCTGGATCTGGACTCAAGGGGAAGGCCCAGCTCTCCCTATCAAAGCCCCCCACTTCCCAGCTGGGCTCTTCTGTCCTGCATGACTCAGCCCATCCACTCCCTGCAGCCCCTGTGGGAAGCTCATGGTTCAAATCTCTCACCTCTGAACAAACCCACCAGTTCACCTTGACTCCCAGCACCTTCCAATTATGGAGCTTTCTACTCTGTACGGCCAGCATGCAGCCCCTTCCCAAGTGTAGTCTAGACTCACTGTACGGACTGCCCCCTTCCCATGGCCTTCTAGCCCCAAACCTCCTCCACCCGGGCCTCTCTTGTTTAGGTCTCCGTGATCTCATTGCCAGACCCGGGGAGTGTGCTATAGTTCCATCCTCCTTGACCAGCTGTAGCACCCTGCAGAGAAGGCCGCTCTCCTCTGCTTGACCCTGAGGGGGTCCTTCCTCAGGCTGTAGGACTCCTTGAGACACTCTTGGGTTCCCTCCCACCCTGCTGCCAGAGCCTCTTCTCCTCTCTGATCTCTGAGTAGCCCAGGGCTGCACGCTTGGGCCACACACCCCTCTGAACCCACTCTGACTTCCCTCGGTAAGCCCACCCATGGTCAGGGCTTTAAATGCCTTGTACTGGCTCACAAAGGTGCATTTCCAGCCCACACTTTCCCCCAAATTCCAGACCCAATATCCAGATGCCTACTTGGCATGTCAAGTCTCTTAGCCCTCTTGGCTATAGAACAGTACTTGGTTCAGCCTCCCCAGACAATCCAGTCTACCTGGGCACTCTTCCTCCTACCCAACCTGAGAGTGCTCTGAGGTTTCCCCAGGGCTTTCCCACTTTCCACGGAAGGCCTGAGTGGGGCTGAAGAACTCCCGGTCTCTGTCCCTAACCCTATCATAGGACTGTTCCACCCACAGTCTTTCCATCCTGCGTTTATGGCAGTGGAGCCTGTCCTGCCAATTGCTTAGGCAAAACCCCCTGCAGTCACCCTTGGCTCCTCTGTTTCTCTCCTGGCCCACATCCAATCCTTAAGCAAACTCTGTCATTATGTCTGAATGATCTGGAATCCAAACACATCTCACCATTTCTGCTGCCACTCTGCTCTGAGCCACAATCTTCTATTACCTGACTGAGTCCTGTCACCTCCTACCTTGTTTCCTTGATTCTAACATTAGACCTCTTACAGTTGATTCTCAATAGAGAAGCTACTGAAATTTTTCTTTTCAAGGTGTTAGCCTGATCACATGTCTATCCTACACAATTTTCTTCACAAGCCCTGTTCTCACTCAGAATATCAGTCAAAATCCTTACCATGTAGGCAAGGGCCTATTATAATCTGTGGGTCCTTTATTACCTCTCTATCCCTCTACCCTACTGTCTCTTGCTTACTCCATGCAACCACAATAGCCCCTCAGCTTTGCCTTCAGCATTCCAGGGTTTCTGCTGAATGAGGGCATTTTGTTCTGTTCTCTCTGCCTTGGCCTTCATCTCCTTCAATTCTGCTCAATTTTCACTTCATCCTTGTCCATAAAGCAGCTGGCCCCCCACAGACCAATGTATAACCAATTCTTCTCCTGCTGCTCTTTCTCTCTGTACCATATCAGTAATCTTCTAAAATAGAGTACAGCATATAAATTTGGTTCATTTTTTTCTGTTTGCTATCTCATCTATGTCTTTGGTTTAACATTCTTGCAACTACCATGGCATAACAAACCACTCCCAAAGTTAGTGACTTAAAACAACAACACTCATTTCTTTTGCACACTTATCTCCAATTTGGACAGTCCCTGGGGGTAAGGCTCATGTCTACTCATGTGGCACTGATTCAATGGTTAAATCAAGAGCTGGAGGAATGGGATGGAGGAATCTACTTCTGAGAGATGTTAACACAAGGTTTCAAATTTTGTGCTCACTGCCAGCTGGGACATTTTAGCAGAATCTGAGGTACCTTGATTCCTTTTCACATGCCTCCTCACAGTATGATGGTGGCTGTGTAGCAAGACTTGAATATGAAGTATCCCCCAAAGACTCATATTTTAAAGGTTTGGTCCCCATTGCAGCAATGTTCAGAGGTGGGGCTTTTGGGAAATGACTGGATCATGAAGACTCATAAGTGGATTAATCCATTGATAGTTGAATGGACTACTGGTAGGTGGGACCTAGTTGGGGAAATAGTCACTAGGTGTTTTCCCTGGAAGATTATTTCTTGTCTCCCATCTCCTCTCTCTTCCTGGCTGCCATAAGCTGAGCATCTTTCTTCTACCCTTATATTATGGTGTCCTGCTTCACCTCAGGCCCAGAACAATGAAGCCAAGTGACCATGAACAGAAATCCCTGAAATCATAAGCCAAAATAAATCTTTCCCCCTTTAAGTTGTTTATGCCAGGTATTTTGGTCATAGTGATGAAAAGCTAATTAAAATTCCTTGTTTGTCCCAGCCTCAGAAGTCAGGGTCCCTTCTGATGTCCTACCCAACTTCCAGAGTAGGGGACACAGATTCCACTTCTTTTATTTCTATTTCTTTTAGTGGTACTCGGGATTGAATGCAGGGGCACTCTACCACTGAGCTACATCCCCATTTTATTTTTTAGAATTTTTTTTAGTGAGAAGGGTCTCACTAAATTTACCAGGCTAGCCTCAAACTTGTAATCCTCGAGCCTCAGCATGGAATTGCAGGTGTGCACCATTGTTCCCAGCTACAATCCACTTCTTAATAGAGAGTATCTAAATTCTGGAAAAGCAAGATGAATAAGAAAAATTATTGCTACCATTTTTAAGGAAGGCCATGTACTAAAATTGGGTCCTTAAAAGCTGAAGCACAATTATGGGAGAATCAGAATAAGGAAGAGGAAGAATCCAAGTGAGGGTGCAATCTCAGAGGGAGGAAAGATTTAACTAGGTCCCACAGAACTCTGGAGTGTAATTCCTACTTAAAGTTTGTCCCAACATGAGATAAAGAAGTTATGATTTGGTAATGTTGCACCCTTCAATTGGGAAGGTAAGGGGACTCAATTCTGAGGCACTTCTAGTTCTCTGCTCAAGCAGTTCTAGGAGTGTGGGCTGTTAGAATCAGGAGCAAAATGAGGCTTGGAAGGATTACACCAAACAGAAGAAGGGGTCACAGAAAGTTTGAGTGGAGCACCAAAATTGCCCACTACCTTCTGTCAGAATGTAAGTTTCTTAATGAAAGACCTTTATTTTACTTACTCTTGTATCCCAAGTGCCTACCACATACCTATCTCTAAAATTTGTTGAATTGAATGGAATTGCGAATGGACATAAATATTTATTCTGCCTTTTGTGCCTTGCTGCTAAAAGTATTCCACATCCAAGGTAATAAGTTTTCCTGTAACTTATAATACTTTTTATAGTCATGTTTCTTACATTAACTTAATAATGCCCCTGGAGTTTTTTTCCTTCAAGATAATTGGGTTGTTGGGGTGTAATTTACATATAGTGAGTGTACAAATATTAAATTTATGGGTTGATACATTTTTGCATATGTATACAATCATATAACCACTGTAGATTAAGAAACAGAACATTTTCATTATTCCAGAAAGCACTCTCTCATGTACCTGTTTCATCTAATCCCGAGTTTACCCTTACTGTCTTGGTTTGGTCATCCCCACCTTTCTTCACAGCCTAGAGATGCCACTAATCTAGCATCCAGGGCTGCTGGGAGCATCGGCCACAGAGAAAAGGGAGGTGATTGCACAAAGAACCCTGCTGGGGAGAGGTGGGCCTAAGGCTGTTGCTTTTGTTATATAATGATAAGGTCATGTTATACATTGTGTTAGGGAGAGCAGTTGAATTTACTGACAAATATTGAAACTAGTTTCTGACAAAAAAGATGTCAAGATGTGGTTTGAACTGAGCAGAAGCAGTATTAATGACAGCCATCTGCTCAACTGTTTATAGCAAGGTAACATACATTGCACATGAATCTAATTAAGTTTGTTGTACTCGATAAAATAGTGATGAAGCCTATTTTCAAATACTCAGCTTCCTAAATGTGTTCCTTATTTAAATCTGGTGTTATCACTTAAAACAAAAGAGAACTTAAGTTGTGATTTCTCCGTATAAGACTTTATTAATGCCAGAAATTAAACAGTAAGAGCAGAGTGAATTTGAAAAATCTGTGTGATTGTAGGTACAAAGTTGGTATAAACAGGGAGCAAGGAGGAGAAAGGCAGGCCTGAGGAGAGCCTTCAGTCTGAACATGGACCTATACATCATAATGATTCAGCTGATCCTTGCTCCATGAAATGGCCTATACAGTGACACTAACTGGATAGCTCTGTGCCTTTATATCCAGGCTGTGTGCTGGGCCTCAGGGTTCCTCCCTCCCCAAGGAATGCTTAACTCCCTCTATTCCTGGGTTTGTGATTTCAGAGTTGAGACCCTTCTGTTTTCCATCATGCACTGGAAATGAAAGAAACAGAAGCTAATAGAAATGAGGGATTAATTGCTGTGTTGCCCTGTTATATTGATTCCAGAGCCTTTCAGGAAAGATCTACTGTTCAGTGTAAAGACATACCATAATGGTTTCTGCTATCATTGTGTAACAAACCCCCGGCCCTTGGTCAGAAACACAGCCCTGTCTTACATATATATATATATATATATATATATATATATATATATATATATATATATATCAATTGTCTCCACCAGAAAACAAGATTTGGCTGGCACCATTTTGACTTAATGGTGCCTTCCTCAGGAGCATATGCTGCTGTCAGCTCAAAAACTACCTGTACTTTCTTTGCCTGCATCATCATGATTTTTGCATAGCCATCCTTTAGTAGTTTTGTCAAAGCAGGACATAATTGCATATACCCTGGAAATGATGAATGGTGTCAACCTTTAACATAGAGAGCACCTATTTGGAGCATTCCTGTTTTTAATTAATCACATCCAAACAAGTCATACTACTCTTGTGTATATTGCTTCATTTATAAATACATTCTTGGAAATGCTTTGTAGGAAAGAGATTTCTTTTTTCTTCCTTTCTTTCACCAATTCAATGATATTTCACTACTGACATAATTTCAGCTGTAGTTTTTCTTCTTCAATCTGGTGTCATTCTTGACCCCCAGGGCTACGATTTTTCTGTAGCAGCCTTTTTCCAGGTAATTAAAGATCCAAACACAATCCCCCCCTCCACATAAAGCTACCATCTACAGGAAATGGCAATCTGTAGCCCTGGTTCTTTTCCTGTGACTCCGTGATTTTTTTTGTCACACACATGAGGAAGAAGGCAGCTCCTTACAGGCTCTGGCCTATGTTTTGTTGTGATATGGAGGTGGCTGTGAGATACAAGGACTGGGGAGCCTTCTCCTTGCTTTGTCTAGGTTCATTAGGGACCCTGGACTCAGTTTAAAGTACTTGGCAATTTTCCCTGCTTTACAACACAAGGAAAATGATGTCACCAGAATCTACTGCTATGAAAATCAAAGTGACTTCTTGTATGGTCTGAAAAAACAAGACTTACATATTTTCTTACCATTCAGTCAGTTGAAACCCTGAAATCCTGTGGTAAAGCATACAACTGCACCAACTGCAGTGAGTGTTTGCTTCCTATTTGGTCAATCCTTATACAGTATCTGTTTAGTTCCTCATTGTTCAGATATGTATTATGGCTCTAGGTTCTCAGAAGGATTAAGAAGGGGTATTAAATAAAATTCCATGCCCAACTGAGACCCTCATTCTGGGCTCCCTGGGTCCATTATCCACCGAGGATGAGATGATACAATGCCCCCATTTTATGGAATGTTCAAAGTCTCAGGATCTGTCATTTTTCAATCAGAAGGGAAAATTGGCCAAAATTTCAGACAGATCATCAGGAGGTATTTCTAATTGTAACTACTGAAAATGTAGAGTTTCAATTGAACATTGCAAAAAGAACTCCTCCCTGTACATGTATACCTTTTAAGAATCAGAGCACTTGCTCAGATCTCTATGAAAGGAAGAGGGGATGATAGCTCATCTTTTGTTTGCAGGTGTTCCCCCAAATGATCAGTTTTGTCAATTTCCTCAGAGGTAGTATAAGATAGTGGAATGAGTTTGCAATTGGCAGCCTGGACAACTCTAAGCTTGACTCTGTATCTTAGCCCCATGAGTGATCTTGGTCAATGTGTTCCCTTCTCTGGTTCTCAGTTTTCTTCTCTTCAAAGTGGCAGTAGCATCAGATTCTGCCATGCATAGCTTCTGGGGCCTTTTAGAGGAAGGGATGAGATGATACATAAGAAAGCATGCTGGGAAAATGCCAACAGCAATGGAACAGCAGCTTAAACACAAATGTCTTTATAGCCACCAGTGTCATCAGATATGCTGCTCATCATGGAGCCTGGGATCCATTGCCCATCACTCAAATTGCATCTCTTTAGGGACAGAAATGTTTGATCTGATAGAGTCATAAGAGTAAGGAGTGTAAATTCTGTGACCATTGCTGAGCTTGATCTCAACTGTGTCTTCAAGGGCTATGACAAAATGGTCTTCAGGGTACACTTTACTAGAATAATTTGGTTCTGATCAAAGCACAGGATATCAGACAAAATTTCAGGTATTGGAGGCAAACAATGTCAGCCTGTTGGCCGTAATACCGGCACCAATCTTTGCTCCAAATACTCCACTTGAAAATTTTGTAACAGAATATTTGGAAAAATGTTCTCTAAAGTCTTGTTTTTATTGCTCTTACCATTCCTGAATTAATGGCATTTTTTTACATCTCAGTCTGTGGTTGTGGAACCCTTCATCTCTTCCTTTTGTGACGGTGGAACCATTGCAAGCATCTCTGAGGCTGGAGAAATGACCTTCTGTCACAGGCTCTGGAAGTGGGGGTAAAGGGGTGTGGGTTGGCCCCCTTCATACCTGCTTGAGAGGAAACTGCTGGATTCTCCTTTCCATCCAATGCATAAACAGATCCTTTCCTCCTAAAAGTTCTCGCCAATACCACACAAACTACACATTCTCTCTTGGTTTTGACCTGTGTTGACCATTGGTGTGTTTTTAGTGAAAAAAAAATGCAAACGGAACCCCAAGCTTCCCAGTTTCACACCTGGCCCAGACCCACACATCTCACACTTTGGATTGCCTTTCATCCGTCCACTCCTGCTTGGTGTTCTGGAGAGCTTGTGTCTTCTGCTCATCCACTTGGACATAGTCTACTCTTTGCTCTTCTGAAAGAAGAAGTTTCTGAAGAAGGACAAAAAGTTTTCATTACATCTAATTTTTAAAAATCAGGATAGTGCCTACCTTTCTGTGGTAGGTTATACTGTAATCTTTACTATTTATTCCCTCTTCCTTCCTGCAGAAACATTATGCTCTAGATGTATGTGTGTGAACATCTCTTAACTTTAGCCATTTGGTTGGACCAATAGAATCCGAATAGAGTTGACACATGCCAATCCTAAGGAGAAGAGAAGCATTTTGGGATTCTCTAATTTCTCTTTTTTTTCCTCTGCCAGAAGCCCTGTATTGTAGATGACCTGGAACACAATATCCCTGCCTGAAATAGGCTTTCTCATGAGTAACAACTGAAAGAACCTTTGATCCTGTGTGTACCTGAAATTTGGGGGTTGTTTACTCTGCCTAAACTGACTAACATGCGTTTTGTACTTGTTGCTCCCACCCTTCTGACCAGCTTTTCTTGTGTATCTGTTCAGGTTTTTGGAATGATATTAAATGTGGAAAAGTAGGTATTCATTCAGCAAAAGGGGAAGGAGATCTTCCAGAGTTTTTTTTTTCCTTACACACACACAGAGAGAGAGAGAGAGAGAGAGAGAGAGAGAGAGAGAGAGAGAGAATCATATTGTACTTTCTGTTCAGTGAGCTGCTTTTTTTCACCAAATAATACATTGTTAGACACATTATGGGATTATGACCATCCCTCACTCAAATATATTAGTTGTCCATCTATCACTGTTAGTTCATTCCATGACTCAAACTGTGAAGTGTATATTATTTAATGGCTAGGATCACTTATGGGTATTAATCAATCAATCCTCCTAAGAGCTCTCATTGTAGATGTTAATATTTCTGATTCCTAATTTACAGATGAAAATACTATCTGAAGGATTTGAAACAGTCCAACCTGGCAATTCAAGGCCCTTTACTGAGGGGTTCTATGTCAACTACAGCTCCTTTTATCACTGCATAAAGTCTAGCCATACTAGCCTGTTACTTGTTCCTTAAACAGGCCCTTGCTATGCCTGGCCCATCCTCCTCTGTGTCTTATGAATTTTCTATAACTACTAGGGTATGAATCCTAGAAAAGCATGAATATAACATCTGTTTACACACATGCATGCAAAGAACATGCTCTAGAAAGAAATACACTAGGATTCCATTCTCTCTGGAAGGAAGGTTTAAGGTTCTTTCAATATTTTTCATTATACATCTGTATTCCTTTTTTAATATTTACTTTTTAGTTTTTAGTGGACACAACATCTTTATTTTATTTTTATGTGGTGCTGAGGATCAAACCCAGCACCCTGCGCATGCCAGGCAAGCACGTTACCGCTTGAGCCACATCCCCAGCCCACACATCTGTATTTCTAAGACCTCCTAAAGACAACACACATGGTTTGGCGATCAGAAAAATCTAAGCAGAAATGAGGTTCTCTGGGAATTCTCAGACATAAAATTCTTCCTACCTGCTGTACAGGGGCTGATGATGCTGAATTAAAGTCCAGGGCCAAATAATCCAGGCTAAACTTCTTTGTCCAGGTAAGAGCACCACTGCTCAGGGAGTTGGCTGTTTGGTGCTCCTCCTAGGAAACAACATCACAGGACTCTGGTTAATGAGTCAGGAGAGGAAGGTAAGTTGTGGCTCCATCCAAGTAGCTGCCACCAGATCACAAGAGAGTGGTCTGATAAGACCTGAACAAACCTGTCTGCACATGAGTGAGAGCTGGCATTTCAAACACAATATAGCCATTCAGCCTTAATATGAAACCATATAATTATTGGAAATGGTTTGCCAAAATTCCCTCATAAAAGAATTCACTTTATGGATCTGATAGGCTCATGATATTTTGGGGATTAACTCTTGATAAGATCAACTATACTTACTAAACTTCCAGTAAAAGTGTCCCAAATGCATTTAAAGGTACTTTATACAATGCGAAGAAACAGTTATAGTGAAACTCACCACCAAGCTTCAGAAGCAGCATACTAGGGAAGTGACTCTCCCCTCTACCATTTCCTCTTCTCCCCACTACAGGCAAAGCACTATCGTGAATTTTATGTTTACAACTTCTTTTCTTTCAAAGTGTAGTTTGATGAGCAAGCAAGTATCCTTAACACACTGTCCAGCTTCTGTTTTTGAATATCTTATCAATAGAATCTTATCATGTATTTTTTAGAAAATATTTTATGTATATTTTTAATTGTATATGAACACACAGTATCTTTATTTATTTTTATGTGGTGCTGAGGATCAAACTCAGTGTCTCACAAATGCGAGGCAAGGACTTTACCACTGAGCTACAGCCTCAGCCCCTTATCATGTATTTTTAAAAAAATATTTTAGTTGTCAATGGACCTTTATTTTATTTATTTTTATGTGGTGCTGAGAATCAAACCCAGGTCCTCACACATGCTGGGCAAGCACTCTACCACTGAGCTACAATCCCAACCCCTTATGGCTTCAATTTTTGCTCAAAATTATATAGTCCACACTCACCCATGTCGATGTGTTAGTTCCACTGCACTCATTTCCACCAGGACAGATTATTTCATTGCATGATTTATTTAATCATTCTGCTTCCAAAATATACTTGAGTTGCTCCCAGTTTGGGAGCTATTGCAAGCAATGTCACCTTGAGCATTTCTGCACCCGTGGGAGAATCTTGGACATTCACCCAGGAATAGAATTGCAGAGTTATAGGATGTACTCATCTTCAACCTTATTAAATAAATAAATTAAAAAAAAAACTACTTTCCATGATTGCAGATACACCAGTTTGCATGGGTGCCAGGAGTGTATAAGAAACTCCTTTGCTTCCCATCCTGGCAAACATTTGGTATTGTCAGTGCTGTTTTAACCTTTTTCCAGTCTGAGGTGGGTGAAGTAATACCTAATGGTGATTTGATTTTTTTTCCCATTTCCCTGATTATTAAGTAGCTTGGGCATCTTTTCATTTGTTGAAGGGCAATTTATTATTTTCTCCTCTGTGAATTGCCTGTTTTATTTTGGGCTTCATTTTGTTTGTTTTTGGCTTTTGTGCTGAAGTATTTGCATTTTTCTTATTCATCCTTGTACCAGGCCTACTTTGTGTTAATCATTGTTGATGTTAATGAGCGGGACAAATTCCATCCATTTTGTTCTTCTTCTAGAATGTCTTATGTAATCATCACCCTTTACATACACATTTTTAAATCAGCTTTAAATTTCCTCAAAAACTGCTGTTAGGGATTTGATATGATAATGTCTTTAATATTTAAATCTTCTTGTTCTGGAACATGGCCTACCTTTCCATTTATTTAAGTATCCTTAAAGTCTTTCAATAAAGTTTTTTAAAAAAAATATTTATTTTTTAGTTGTAGATGGACACAATACCTTTGTTTTATTTATTTATTTATATGTGGTGCTGAGGATTGAACCCAGGGCCTTGCACATGCTAGGCAAGCACTCTACCGCTGAGCCACAACCCCAGCCCCCAATAAAGTTTTAATGTTTTTGCTTATAACGTTGTTCACTGATCTCTTCTTAGATTTATCTAAAAATACCTATGATTTGTTATTATTGTAAATGGTAGTTTTTTTTTTTTTTTTTTTGGTACTGGGAATTGAACTCAGGGTCACTCAACCACTGAGCCACATCCTCAGGTCTATTTTGTATTTTACTTAGAGACAGGGTCTCACTGAGTTGCTTAGGGCCTCGCCATTGCTGAGGCTGGCTTTGAACATGTGATCCTCCCACCTCAGCCTCTGGAGCCACTTGGATTACAGGAGTGTGCCACCACACCTGGTGGTAGATTTTGTTTAAATCCAATTTTCTGTTTCTTACCACTGTATAGACATTCAATTGTCTTTTGTGTATTGATTCTATATACATCAACTTTTATATTTCATTAATTCTAATCATTTTGTTAATTACTTTATTTATAATTTAATTAATTGCTTTATCCTAAGTAGGTTATTTTGGGTTCTCTGGGTAGACAATTGCTTTATCTATGAATAATCATTGTTAGTCTTCTTCCTTTCTAATTATTATTCCTCTTGGTTCTTTAATTTATTCTCTATCATATACAATGCTGAATGGAAGTAGTTAAAGAGGTTTTCCTTGGGATGAGGTGTAGCTCAGGGATACAACACTTGGCTAGTATGTATCAGGCCATGGGTTCCACCCCTAGCACCACAAAAAAAGAGGTCATCCTTGTTTTGCATCTGATTTTAAAGGAAAGATTTTTAGTATTTAATCATTGAGTATGATACCTACTATAGATTCTGTAAGACTCCTTTTTATGAGATGTAGGAAAAGTCCTATTCCTTGTTTACTAATAGATTATTTTTATGAACAGTTCTCTCAAATGCTTTTTTTCTGCATCTAGTAAGATATCAGTATCATTTCCTCCTTTAATCAGTGCATGTAGTCACTTGATTTAATAGGTTCTCCTGGTTTATGGTTATAAAGCTCATTCCTCCGAGAATATTGGTAATAATATACTTCATCTTCTCTGGCTTTAGGTCACCACATTAATTTAATTTCAATCTCTATATATATTTGCCAAACTAAACATTTCATATAAATGGAATTATACAATATGTGGCCTTTTGTAATTGACTTCTTTTATTCAGCATATTGTTTTCAAGGTTAAAACACATTGTTTCAGGTATCAATACTTCGTTTCTTTTTATGGCTGTATAAACTTCTATCATGGAATTAACCAGTTGATGAAAGTGTAGGTCATTTTCATTTTCTGGTTATGGAAAATGCTGCTATGAACATTTGTGTATAAATATTTGGTTGAACATATTCTTTTTATAATTTTTAAAATCTCTACAATGAGCAAGATTGGCCTATAATTTCATACTTATTCTTAAAAATAAATGTAACTAAGGAGACAAAGACTTCTATGTTGAAAATTACAAAGATGCTACTGAAGGAAAGCAGAGAAGATATAACTAAATGGAAAAACAGCTATGTTCATTGACTGGAAGACTTAATGTTGTTAAGATTATAAGATCACCCAAAATAATTTGCAGATTGAAAATATTCCATATCAGAATACCAATGGAATTTTTTGCAGAAATATTAAAGTCTACCATAAAATTCACATGGAATCTTAAAGCCAAATAGCCAAATCAATCTTGAAAAACAAAAATGAAGTTTGAAGTCTCATACTTTCTTATTTCAAAACTTACTACAAAACAATAGTAGTGAAAATAGCATAGTACTGGCATAAATATGAATATGTAAACCAATGGAATGTTATACAGTCCACAAATAAACCCTCCTTGCAAATGCAGTCAATTGATTTTCATAAGGGCATCAAGACCATTCAATGAGGAAAGTATGCTCTTTTCAACAAATGGTATGAGGGAAACAAAAAGTCCACAGTCAAAAGGATAAAATTGAACTCTAACCTTATACCATATACAAAAATTAAGTCAAAAAAGATCAAAGATCTAAACATGAAAGCTAAAAATATAAAATTTTTAGACAAAATTTGGAAAAATCTTTATAACATTGGCTTTGGCAATGATTTCATTGATGTGACACCAAAAGCAAGGCAATAAAAGAAAAAAGATAAATATAAAGGACACTGTAAAGAGAATAAGAAGACAACCCACAGAATAAGGAAAATATTGAAAATTGTACAGATGATAAGGGTTTAATATTCATAATACATAAAAATTCCTACACCTCAAGAACAACAAAAACAAACAACCTAATTAAAAAATAAGCAAAATACTTGTTATGGTTTGGATATTAGGTGTCCCCAGAAAACCCATGTATGAGAATATGCAAGAGCATTCAGAGGTGAAATGATTAGCTTATGAGAGCTTTAACCTAATCAGCACTTAATCCACTGATAGGGATTAACTGGGTGGTAACCGCAAGCAAGTAGGGTGTGACTGGAGGAGGTGGTCCCTGGGGATGTGCCTTTGGGGTTTATAATTTGTCTATGATGAGGGGCGCTCTCTCTGCTTTCTGGTTGCCATGAGCTGAGCTGCTTTCCTCTACCACACCCTCCTGCCGTGATGTTCAACCTCACCTTCAGCCCAGGGCAACAGAATTGGCCATGTATGGACTAAGATCTCTGAAATTGTGAGCCCCAAATAAACTTTTCCTACCTTACATTGTTCTTGTCAGGTCCTTTGGTCACAGCAATGAATAAAGTAGCTAAAATAGTACTCAAACACATTTCTCCAAAGATAAATAGATGGCCAACAAAAACATGGAAAGATGCTTAAGCTCACCAGTGATTAGGAAAAAGTGAATGAACAACAATGACATAATACTTCACATCCATTAGAATGGTTATTATGAAAAATGGGGAAATAACAAGTGTTGGTGAGGATGTGGAAAAATTGGAACACTTGTTCATTGTTGGTAGAAATATACAATGGTGTAGACATTGTGGAAGGCAAGTTTGTTCATCCTTTCAAAAAACAGAATTACTATATGATCCAACAATTCCACTTCTAAGTATATTTTCAAAAGAATCAAAAATAGGAACTCAACTAAGAACAAGTATACCCATGTTCATAGCATCATTATTCATAATAGCCAGAAGGCAAAATGAACTAAATTTCCATCAGT